ACCGAAATATTTTCTTTCCATCGAAATTTTTCAAATTTTCACTGAAACTTCAAAAGTATAACCGAAATTTTTTCCACCGAAAATTAATCCACCGACCTTTTTGGGCACCGGGTCTTTTGGCACTTAACGTATGGTGAATCAGCAATTCTTCACCGCATTCTTTGCGTTACATGATTCTTCGCTAAATCTATACACAAACAATGTAGGTAGGGGGCTAACACCCCTACATTTTCCCCTACAAGAGAGAATGTACCTCCTAAGCCCATCATCCAACCCCCCCTCCCCACTACATTCCTGGTCATGACAGGTAGCAATCGTGCAAATTGTGATAAAGCATGAAACGTGGTGATTATACACAATTGAATATGCGTATTAAAATAGAACAAATACCCATTTTGAGAAGAAATCTTTGTGCAATTTCAGACTACGGTACTTGTGCCCTGTACTCAGAAGCCTTACTGTGGTGAATACCTTTCTGTTAGCTATACAGCCATGAAACGCGGCAAACCTACACAATTTTATCTACTGAAAAAGACGAAAGTGGTCACTTTTTAGGCATAGAAGGTAAAAACTATAAAATCAATGCCTGAACAAAAATGTAATATCCAAAATAGAAAATAGGAGATGAGGAATAGTCACGACCACTTGGTTACAGCCTCAAACTCAAATGGGTAAGGGGGGGGGGTAGTTGTGTACTTTGAGTAATTAGCTTGAAAAGGGTAGAAAATGATAAAACAGCAACTCAACAGCCAGAAGACTAAGAGAGACATTTCGGGGCTTTAATTGCGTCCAGGAAGCTCATACTGGGCCATTCCAAAACGGAACCGTGATGGTACAAAATTCGTCCCCAGACCTCTCCGTCAAAGATATTGAGAAATTTCACACTTCACGTGGTAAATTTTAACTTTTTCAACTAAATAAAAATAACAATAAATTCAACGTTGAAGTTCATTTTCTGCAGTTTATCTTTTCTTCTCTTAAGAGAGACATTTCGGGGCTTTAATTGCGTCCAGGAAGCTCATACTGGGCCATTCCAAAACGGAACCGTGATGGTACAAAATTCGTCCCCAGACCTCTCCGTCAAAGATATTGAGAAATTTCACACTTCACGTGGTAAATTTTAACTTTTTCAACTAAATAAAAATAACAATAAATTCAACGTTGAAGTTCATTTTCTGCAGTTTATCTTTTCTTCTCTTTTTTGTTTTCCACCCAGTTTCGTTGTTTTTTCAGTGGAAAAAACGATTGATAATAACATTTTGTTGGAAGATTCCGATTGAAGTTTGGCTAACCTTTACGTAATCGAGATTAGATATACAAGTTGTAAGCAGCTTTGATTTTAACATATAATGATTGCTCGATTTTTTTGTACTTGCTGATATTCTATCAGGTATGTTTAAGGGCGCATAGAGGTTACTGAAGCCCCTGGGGTAAAACAGGAAAATTGAGATCCCCTACAAGCGAAATGAGGCTTGGTATGTTTAGGCTACCAAAATTTGTGAAAATAATTTGCTCACATTGACTGTGAAATATAGATTCTTTTAACACTGTACACTGTTTGTCACTGTGCAAAACAGTTTTATTAATGCTCGAGAAAACTAGGTATGTCTTGAATGGACCTTTGGAGCGCTTGTAAATTACCCCAAAATAGTCAGAATTAACTGACGAGAACGCTGGCTTGCAGGCTGAACATCTCATTCACAGTCAGTTTTGCAACTTGTAATCTATTTCAACAGAACTTTGTGAAGGTAACAACAGAACTTTGAAACAAGGGGCGATTCACTCTTGCAAATAGCGTACGAGATTTTGCCTAGAACAAAAGGATTTCTGGGGATTTTCGGATAAAACAATAGGATTTCAAAAAAGGTGTACGCGATTTTCTTAAAGTGATTTGCCCCTCGCTTTGAAAGAACTTCGTGAAGGTAATTTTCACTAAATTTATAGTGAAAAGTTTCTTTAGGTGGCTAATTTTTGAAGCGGTTTTCTTTGTTTTATTACTTTGCTGCTTGTAAAACTCCGATAATTCTAGATATTTGTAGGCCTCTATTAACACGATTTTGATATTTGGTGAACATGAATAGCAATGTTTAAGATATTTTGTGTGCTTGTAAAATCATGGGTTAGATATTTGTAGGCCTCTATTAACACGATTTTGATATTTGGTGAACATGAATAGCAATGTTTAAGATATTTTGTGTGCTTGTAAAATCATGGGTTAGATATTTGTAGGCCTCTATTAACACGATTTTGATATTTGGTGAACATGAATAGCAATGTTTAAGATATTTTGTGTGCTTGTAAAATCATGGGTTAGATATTTGTAGGCCTCTATTAACACGATTTTGATATTTGGTGAACATGAATAGCAATGTTTAAGATATTTTGTGTGCTTGTAAAATCATGGGTTAGATATTTGTAGGCCTCTATTAACACGATTTTGATATTTGGTGAACATGAATAGCAATGTTTAAGATATTTTGTGTGCTTGTAAAATCATGGGTTAGATATTTGTAGGCCTCTATTAACACGATTTTGATATTTGGTGAACATGAATAGCAATGTTTAAGATATTTTGTGTGCTTGTAAAATCATGGGTAGATATTTGTAGGCCTCTATTAACACGATTTTGATATTTGGTGAACATGAATAGCAATGTTTAAGATATTTTGTGTGCTTGTAAAATCATGGGTTAGATATTTGTAGGCCTCTATTAACACGATTTTGATATTTGGTGAACATGAATAGCAATGTTTAAGATATTTTGTGTGCTTGTAAAATCATGGGTTAGATTTTTGTTGAGCTTGTATAACCATGTTTTAGATATTTTGCGAACTTGTTTAAGATATGTTTAAACATAAACATAATAATGTTTAAGATATTTAATGAGCTTGTAAAATAATGGTCTAGATATTTGGTGAGCTTGTATAATCATGGTTTATGTTCTTGTCGAACTTGTTTGATCACGATTTAGGTACCTGGTAAGCTTGTATAATCTTTGTCTAGTTAGCTAATGAGCTCTTATTATCAATGTTCAGATACAGTTGGTGTAATTATGGTTTAGGAATTTGTTGATTTGTTAAATCTTGGTTTAGAACCTTTTTGATATAATATGTACTTTTCCAACATACCAAAGAGACGTGGAATCACTAAACACCTGCGAAATATTTTTAAGTTGTCTCGTGCTGTATTCTATTGAGATTCTAGACTCTTTGAAAAAAGTTTTTTGTAAGGACTCTCTTCTTCCCTTTCCTTGAGGTTGTGAGTGCATTTTCATTTGACCCAAAATGTTTGATTCGTTCGGCTAATGATCTGATGATTATCGCCAAATCTGACGCAATATTGAAATTATTTTTAATTTCTTTGGAATGATCAACTGTTCTTTATAGTGCGTGTGTCGTCGAAAAATTGTTTTTGCGAGACGATCCTAATGGCCCATCATTACAGCGTTCTCTAATATTTGATATTTCACAGTAAAGAGGTCGCGACTTGACAAAGCCATTGTCTTGCCTAAATATATTCAGTTTTCGCCCATGCTATTTCATGTTTACCTTCATACAACGTTTGATGTTTGATGTTTGATTTACATTGACGTTAGAAAACACAATAAACTGAGATTGGAAGAAAAAAATTCAGACAACCCGAAAAATTGAATTTCCTATGATGATGATGTTATTGACGACGACGATAGTTTCATTCGCTGTCAAAAGAGTTGATCTGATTCATGGTAACATTTGAATGATAGAAATGTGATTTTTCGTATTATTTACACTAGAATGAAACTAGAAACCGCAGGAGGGTTTGTGTTTAAGGAAATCTAGCCCCCCCCCTGATAATTACCAACATGTACCAAAATAACACCAAAACTCGCCGCTGGTGGTAGATATTGGTGCATTTTTCTTTGCAGGTGTTCAGCGGCGCCGGAAGCACGGGGGCAGCGGGGGCAGCACTGTGCCCTTGTGAAAATTTCATTGTATTTATGTGAATAGGATAAAACAATATTGCTGTTGTGAACCAAAATCATCATTGTGTGCTTTTACTATGGATTCATCAGCAATTATGCAAATGAAGGAAATTACTAAAGCTTGGTTTCCACTATGAGTTAACGTGCGTTAATTTGAGATAATTTTGTGATCCGAGTTGGTTTAAAAATTATCTCATAGTGGAAACGCTCATTAAAAATTATTTCATGAAAATTAACTCGTGTTAATTCACGTTATCTCATGAGCTTGGAACCAAATTTTTCTTATTTCAAACTCATGAGTTAACTTGAGATAACATCTTATCAAAAGAAGCCGATGCGCGGGAGGGGAAGGTGCTATAATTTGCACTGAGTATTTCTTTAGATGTTGAAAACAGTTTTCTTTACTCAAAAAAAATTATTCTCATTTCATTTTCATTTTCTCATTTCTAAGATCCTGTTGCAAGTGGTCGTATTCACCAAACGCATATCTTTTTTGGTAGACTTTCCGTACCGACAACCTTGGCACAGATCGCGAACAGCACTTCTAGCAAAAAAATATTTTCCTTCTACGTATTCTCAAAAGCAGAAGTAAAATAAGCTGTTCTTGTAAGACGCCCGCCATAGACGCCCGTCATAGACGCCCGCCACAATCATGCAAAATATGATACTAGCATAAAAACGTCACAACTTATGTAGTTTGAGATGTAGAATATGACCCGAAACAGATCCAAGCTATAAAATACCTCCAACAGCTATTTTTAGAACATTCAACTTGGTCCCAGTCCGCAAAGTGAAAAAAGTCACTTTCGAATAATAAAACGGGTGTATGTTTGCAATATTTGGTATTCATATACAATCTTGAGTGTGAAATGTCGGCCCGAGCAATAAGGTCCATAAATTGCCCCATGTTCTATCTCTAGAACATTGAACTTAGTCCCGGTCCTCGAACTGAAAAAAGTCACTTTCGAACGATAAAACAAGTGTATGTCTGCGATATTTGGTATTCATATACAATCTGAAGTGTTAAGTGTCACGCCAAGCTAAAATATGAGCTCCATTTTTAGAATTAATTTGGTCCTTACCAAGTCCACAAAGTGAATAAATTGCCAAAAGTGCATTTGATAAGTCTATCTTTTCAAAATTAATGCATAAGTTATGACGCAAAACAAACAAAGTGAATAAATTATCCCATTTTTATTTCCCATGCCTATTTTTGATAGTTTTTTATGATATGAATAGTTTGCAGCATTTAAAAATATCACATTTTTTGGGAAACATACGTATGGCACTCTGATTCAATGTGCAACGTTTAGTTTGCAATTTATGGCCTAAATCGCGCGCATCTTCTTTTTCTTCACACACAAAATGCAGCAAAAACAATTCACCAAGAAATCAGCATCTGGACCGTACACACAGAGGTCATTGCAATGGTGGTCACCCTTTTTCAAGAGCTCGACATCGAGAAGTTGTGGACTGAGTTTGGTTTGGACGGATAAAAAGCGATCATTCCAAATACACATATATGCTGCAAAGCTTGATATAAATATATGCAGTGTTTGACGCTGTTGGTATGCTTTCATAAAGTGAAATTAAGTTTTATCACTCTGCGGTAGAGAAAGAGAAGCGGATGGGATGTTTGAAAATCAAACTCATTTAGGCATCCTATTAAGTGATAGCAGTAGCTAGAAACTAAATCGCTTTCTTGACTTTGTGCGTTAGTAGCCTCCCCTGGCATTATCATATTGTTTTCTATTTATCTGGGCTGTCGTAGGGTAACGCTAGAGAGCTTCCTAAGGATGATGTTCAGTCCATTGAGAGGTTTATTCTGCTTTGCGATCGTACTTGTCGGCAATCAACAATATATGAATGTAGGGAAATGCTGTTCACGAAAAGGTTCATGTTGTCAAGTTGATTGTTTTGAAAGACATAATGGGGTACTTTAGGGATCTTATTTTCTTCCCATGACATTGCACACCTAAGATCGAATCTGAATACCAATTTTTGCGGAAATATACTTCCTACATCACTCACAAGCGAAATTTTCATTGTTCAATGTTCTAAAAATAGGAAATGGAGCAAGTTATGGACCTTCTTTTCTTGGCATGACGTTTTAAGCTTCAGATTGTATATAATTACTAAAATTATGTTGCAGACAAACTCCTGTTATATTGCTTGCAAATCACTTTTACATTTTATGGACTGGGACCAGGTTCAATGTTCTATATAGAAAATGGGGTAATTTATTTCCTTGGCATGGCGTTTCAAACTTCAGATTGTATATGAATATCAAATCTTGCAGACAAACATTTGCTGAATCTCTTGCAAGTGACTTATTTCATTTTGAGGACTGGGACCAAGTTAGATGTTCTAAAAATAGCTTTTAGCGGCATTTTCGGCTTGGCTCTGTTTTGCATTTTATTCTACACCTCAGACTACGTAAGTTTTGAAGTTTTCATGCTGGTATCATATTTTGCACGATTGTTGTGCCTTCAGACCGGACTGATATCAGAATTGACGGTGCCGAAGGCTTTAGGTACCAGTCAGTGTACTGAGTGCAGCTTTCTGTAATTTGATTGCTGTGAAAACAGCATTTCATTTGAAATTAAGTAATTATACAACTGATCGTAGACAAGTTTTTCAAAAAGCCGAGACAACACTGGTAGAATTGAGATGGGATGATAATTTGACCTTCTCTATAGTTACAAGATTATTTTCCCTATAGTTACTTTATAGTATATGACCTTCCATATAGTTACAAAATTAATTTGAACCTTAAGTTACAAGATTGCCAAAGTTACTGTGGTAGTCCTGGCAAGGTAACAGTTTGAAGGGGGGATGTGACTTCTTCGTTCAAAGTAATTTTTTATTTAAACCACGTACTGATCGAGACATTACATGCAAAGATGCCGATTGCGAATTCAAAGCATGTTGGATTGAAATTAATCACTCCAAAATTCTTCCTCTTATTCTTAAAAAGAAGAAAACTGCTATTATAAATGGGGATTTTAACATTAATCTACTGAACTTTGATGCAGATACCTATACAGAAAGGTTCATAATTTTGCTCTTATTATATAATTTTGCTCTTTCTTTCTTTCTTTCTTTCTTTCTTTCTTTCTTTCTTTCTTTCTTTCTTTCTTTCTTTCTTTCTTTCTTTCTTTCTTTCTTTCTTTCTTTCTTTCTTTCTTTCTTTCTTTCTTTCTTCTCTTTCTTTCTTTCTTTCTTTCTTTCTTTCTTTCTTTCTTTCTTTCTTTCTTTCTTTCTTTCTTTCTTTCTTTCTTTCTTTCTTTCTTTCTTTCTTTCTTTCTTTCTTTCTTTCTTTCTTTCTTTCTTTCTTTCTTTCTTTCTTTCTTTCTTTCTTTCTTCTTTCTTTTTCTTTCTTTCTTTCTTTCTTTCTTTCTTTCTTTCTTTCTTTCTTTCTTTCTTTCTTTCTTTCTTTCTTTCTTTCTTTCTTTCTTTCTTTCTTTCTTTCTTTCTTTCTTTCTTTCTTTCTTGTTAAACTCAAATATTACAACCAACATTAGTTCAAGCGAACAAAACCCCTCCCTGACCTGATAGATGATATATTTCTTAATTCTATTGGGTTGGAAACATTTAGTACTAATCTAATTTCTAAAATTTCTGACCATATGCCTAACTTTCTATTCTGCGCTAAACTTGACTATAAACTAACACATGAAAAAACAAGAATTCTACCGTGACTTTAATGTTAATGCAAACCTGATTGACTTTCGGGCAGCTAATCTGGAAAATCTCATTGATTCTTACACCAATATACAGTGATAAATTTAATTTTTTTCATGAATGCATCTTCAACTCTATAAAAAAACATGCCCCCCTTAAACCAGTATCAAGACGGATAGATAAACAAAAATAAAAACCTTGGATCACGAACGGGATACTGAAATCAATATATGTTAAAAATAAATAGTGTAAAGATTTTTTATCAACTAAAACCCTTTTTGGTACAATCGAAATAAATATTATAGAGTTTCTTTGTATCTTCTTATAAGGAAAAGCAATAAAAATTAGCACTTGTCTTACTTTTATAAATTCAAGGACAACTCCAGACAAAAGTGAAAAGGAACTAAATAAATTTAACGAATACAAAGACAAAACAGTTATATATGCCTTCAAATAAATTGCAAGCTGGAATCAAACCAACACAAAGTGGCAAATATTTTAAATGATTACTTCACAAAGCATTGCTGATAAACTGGTGGAAAGAATGAAACCTACTTTTAAAAGTCACCATATTTTTTAAGATAAACGAATGCAAGTAGTTGTTTTTCTAAAACTTGTTACTCTTTATGAATCGGCATATCTAATAAAAGATCTCAATGATGACAAGTTTAACGACTCCTGAAATATTCCGGTTAAACTTATTAAAATTGCCAGTGACACCCTCTCATCACCCTTTACCAATATCTCGAATGCCTCCTTAGTCCAAGGTATCTTTCCAAACAGTTTGCAATTTGCCGATTCAGAAAGACAAATCAAAGCTAGAACTCAACAATCACCGACCGATTTCCATGTTGTCTATTTTCAGTAAAATTCTTGAAAATTTTTTTTCACAACACCTGGTTGAATTCCTAGATAAATACCAAATTCTTCTCTGATATCAATTTGGCTTTCAATAAAAATAGAAATTCCTCTGTAGCCATACTTGACCTCTACACATCCTTGATATATAACATTGAGAAAGGCGTTTTCTCAATCATTCCTCCTTTTTAGACCATCTAGAACATTATAGTATCAGAAGAACAACACTAAATTGGTTAAAATCTTATCTCTCCAACAGTCTGTTGAATTTTGCAGCATCCAATCTGAAAATCGAAATATAAATTGTGGGGTTCCACAAGGTAGTGTTTTAGGCCCCTTTTTATTTTCAATTTGCATAGATGATATCCACTTAAGTTCAGCCTTAATTGACTTCCACTTTTTTGCTGATGATACGAGCTTAGTCTTTAGGAAAAATAGTTTAAAATATCTCGAAACTGTAAATAAAAGAGAGTTGCAGAAATAAACCATGGACAAGTCCAGAGTCCAGCTTTACTTACGTTTTCATGTGATCACAAATTTTTATATTATCATTCCTGACCTGACTTATATTTTCAGTAAATTACCTTGTAACAGTGAGATCTGTAATTGTAGTTCAAGACCCTGTTTACATGAGATCGATCCCAAACTTGCACGGATAAGCCTTCCGTTTACACGGGAACGCTCGGGATCGGTCCGCTATCCGTACTCATTCAGGTCCGCTTTGGAGAGCGTTCCAGTTTGGGATCTCTTGTAAATGCCCGAAAGAAGTGGGATCGATTCCAAATTATCACGGATAGGAAACGAGGCTAATGAATTCTCCAGTTTTAGGTGCTTTGAGCACAGTGCTTCGACCTTTGGTCAGATCTCGCGCATCCTCTTCGCCCATAAGTTGGAAAATACAAAACAAGATAGAAAAAGTTTTCTATTTTTTCACGAGTTTATTGATAAATTTAGCAAACAGGCTCCAACCTATAATGTCTTACTCCAGCTTGCTATTCAGGAGTAAGGCCCTTTTTCAACGCTCCAAATAAACATTTTGTTGCTACCTTTCAAATTCGAAGCCATTTTCTCCCAGCCTTCCTATAAATTTGGCGGTACTTTCTTTGTGTTGCTGATGGCATAAACAATACACATGAGCATTCCTTTCAAAAGGGCCTAGAAAGCATTGCGGTCCGATCTGGGAACGATCCCGTCAATATATTTTGGGATTGTGTAAACGTCTGTGAAAATTTTGGATCCGATACGGGATCGATTCCATTTTCCCCGTGTAAACAAGGACTAAATTAAATTGAAAATGAAATGTTTCCATTATAATTAAATCGGTTCAAATCCGTCGCATTTGTTAATCTTTCCATGGGTTCTTTTGGCTCTTTTGGCAGTTCTTGCAACTCTTTCGTCAAAACGTGTGATTCTCTTTCTATCGACCAACAAAGCAAATGGTATTTTATCTCAAAACTTCCTAACATAGCCATTTCTTACTACTTACTTTATTTTAGTTGTAGAAATAAAACATGGACAAACCCAGGACTTCTACCATTTTGATATACATATATATTTTCTTTCTTCTTAGTTGACCTTTTCATTATGCGATTGTTTTAGTCTTATTCTGTAACCCTGGCTAGCCAGTTGCAAACTACTTATGTACTAGAGAAGTTTACATTTTAATTTATCTCCTTTGCCACTGCTGATACGTTGGGGACTCCAAGCAATAAATCAATGAATAGACGAGGTAAAACGTTAACAACAGAATATGATATAACAGATGGCATATAATCTATCACAAGATTCCTATAGGTACAACACCGGTGTAATGGTTTTTGCGTGGTTACCAGAATTCACGTGGGCTACTGCATCAGGGCAAGGAAAACGTCATTTGGAGTTGGCACAAGCGGATTTGGTTGCCACGCAGATTTTAGTATCACACCGGTTCTTCCGCTAAATATTATACTCAAAGGTACGCGAACGGCTTTTACCGAGAGGCATCAAATAACCAGGGCCGCAAAGAGGGGGGCAAAGGGGCAAATTTTACCTTGGCTTCAAGGCTCTATGAGCCCTTATAAAGTAATGAATTCAATTTTTTAGAATTGAATTATTTAAACATAACAAAAGTATGCCCAAGTATAGTGAAACATTTCAAACAATTGGAAGAAAACGGCTCCAAGAGTTATTCTGGAATGTATTTTAAGCTAAACTAAAGGGTATGGTCGCAGAATTTTTCTGCTCGCTCGCTCGCATGGAAGTCTCTTCTAATGTCTCACCACAGGGCTCGTGATAACTATGAAATGCGTACCCATTTTCACTGTCAACAATATAGTTCCGTGGTAATTATTCAAAGCGAGACAAGTTGCTTGACCTTTACGTTGTCGTCCATCTTTTTACAAAAAGGCATACACGATTTAATTGACGGATAAAAACATATTTTTCATTCATTTTCAAAACATTTTAGGATTTTAAGATACCGTTAAGGGGAGTTCATGAAATATGTCGGCAACCATTTTTATAGTCGTCGGCACTTGAGTTTTTCTAAGATTGTCGGCACATCGTGGTTTGGTTTCTAGCGCCACCCCTGGCTTGACTCAAAAAACTTAAATTGAGTTTATTCTTAATTTCCAATTTGTGCAAAAATAAGTGAATATGCATAGTTTATGTAGCAGAAAGGGGTGGTGCTTCCCAGATTTTTACCCTTTCAACAGAAGGCCCTGTTCTAATGCCATCTGTATTGAAGTACGTTCTGTAATCTCTCCGTAACATGAATAGCGAGAATAGCCCAGCGGTTCCATCCATGACTACAGATGTACGGGCTTGTATATACGAGCAAAGTAATCCCACCCTTTAACCTAAAGGTCGGATAAATCTCTATATGTAAACTTGCAGATTTATGTTTGCATAACATGCTTATGGGTGGAAGGTGCGATAAATTAGCTCATATTAACAGAATTAGCTCATAAATTAGCTCATACAAGACCTTTCTTACTTGGGTGCGGAAATTTGACACGGTCTAAAGAGGTTAGAAATAGGTCAAATCTAAAGACCTTTTTTACTATTAGCTATTTTAATGAACTTTTAAGCAGTATTTTAATCCAAAATTTTGCAAAATTGGCCCCCTGGTAAGCTTGCATTTCTTTCACCGACGGGCTCTGGTGGGTGAAGAAAATAAATTGAAATCAAATGAGTTTTTTGCTGGTTCTTCTATCTGTGGGGCATCTTTCATGAAAGCAGCGACCACAATTAAGCAACCTAACAACAGATCCTCATTTGTAAGTTTGAACACAAACTTTGATTATGATTATTCATGAACAAAATCCATATCCAGGGGAATAACTGCTCCTTCCATGTTGAGGGGGGGGGGGCGTCGGTTGTCAATTGTCATCGATTGTCAAAGGGAGGGGGGAGATTTGACATCGATCAATGAAATTCGAGAAAATGCTGGGTCAGTGATGAATTCGACCAATACAATTTTAACCTCGGTTATGTCAGTGATGAATCTGACCAATGACATCTTAGCCTCTGCAACAGTAAGATATGTGACCAATGACATTTAGCCTTACCTAGTTAGTTATGAATTTGTCATGTGACATTTTAGTTTTGCTACATAGTGGTTAATTTCACCAATGAAGTTCTAGCCTTTGCTGCATCAGTGATGAGCTTGACCAGTGACCGGAGCTCAACTAGTGAAATATTACCCTCTATCACATGAGTAATGAAGTTGAGCCATGAAATTCTACCCTCTGCAACTTTAGTTATGAATTCGTCAAATGACATTCTCGCCTGTATCACGTCAGTTTTTTTTAGAAAGGAAGTTCTACCCTCTTCTATTCATTTATCAATTTAGTATATGAATCTCTAGTCTCTGCTACTTTAGTGAATAAGTTGACCATTTAGATAGTGCGTTTCTTTGGTATGCCAAATTCATTACTGTGTTAATGATACAGAAGTCATGAAGCGACCATTCCTTTGTCTACACAGTGACATCTTATCTTAATGTAACTCTTTAGGCCCTTCTGGTCATTCGGCACAAGGAAATTAGCATGAAATTAGCGCCTCTATCCTAACAAAGTCTGAGGCAAGATGCGTAGCATTGCTGTTGTAACATTTATATCAAACAATATTTTGTTGGTACAAAACTTGAAAATGGCTTTGAAAAAAGCAAACATTTGAGTAAACTAAAGCTTTGCGTCTGACACTCTTCACAGTATAAAACGTCAGAACATAGATCGAAAACTCTACGCTAGGAAATCATTTTGCATCAATCATCCCTGAACAAATCATATTGTAGTCCATTGATCGTCTACTTTTTTCATGGCATTGTTACTAATCAACGGTCAGTCTTTTAGTTGCTTTGTCCTGATTGTCCCACATACTGCGAGCAAATATTTCTCCTGGTAATGAAGAAGATCTAATCTTGTGAGCCAGTTATCAAATAGATTTAGTGGTTCTTATTTTTTGGGAAATGGGCACAGTGTTTTGCAACAACTCGAGAAGACTTCTGCAGGTGTTTGTACTCATTAGGTGAATCCGCGGATGCTTCTTTTCAACAATACTTACAGACGTCACACATGAATCCTAATGTTCCAGCACAAACAAGAATCTTAGTTCCCTAATAAACCTGCATTTTGGATAATACTGTCTGCTACTACATTTTGTATTGTATTTATTATTTGTATCTGGAATTATCTGTTCACCTACAGAATGGCTCTCTTCTGGTGAAACTTTAATACTCTGTTGTCCAATATACTTAGTGACAGGCTGCTAAGTTTTCAACAGTTTTCCACTCTTGCTCAAATGTTACAGCATCTATAAAGTTTAGAAATCCTCTCAATTTTTCAAACCTTTTCAACTGCATTACACCAGCAAATGGAGGATGCCCGATCTTCAGGGGCCAGTATATTGCATCGGGTGGCAGCTGAGCAATTCCTATCGCAGTAAAATCCAAAAAACTGCTCAAGGACAAAACATTCAAGAAGTCGATACAATTCATCCATACATTCAATAACATATTTCCTTGTTCCCTGTTGAAGTTCAACCCCCAGTTCTATTGAAAAAAACCCTTTCTTCCCCGGAGTTTTGTCGACATATTTTCAGATAAGGAGTCAGTTCTCTAACTATCCATATTGTTGACGTTTTTAGAAGTAGCACACAAGAGAAAAAATGTGAATAAAGTTAGATTTTTAACAAAGATTCAAAAATATATCTTCTATAAATAGCCAGCATAAGTTTTCTAAATGATTTTGTGTTTGCTTATCTTAAAAGTATTGGAACCTGATAATTTGGGTATCTTAGCAAGTTTGTCAATGGTACAAGAAAATTAACAGGCAACTTTTTCGAAAATTGAAAAATTGTAGGTGAAATTTTAGGGTTCGGGTTCTGAATTTTCTGGAATTAGTGTTTGGGTTCTGAAGAAAAATTCACAAAAGTTGAGGAACTACAGGAACTAAGTTTCATTTGTCGCAGAGTCATGGCTTTATATTTCATCAAATTTGCAGCCTTCTGACCATAAATTTCTTCAAATTTTGCGGATATTTGTGGACAAACAAGATGGCCCGTTCAATCAGATGACAGGTATCTGGTATGGATACTTTGTTATGCAGCACAAGACAGCGCTGGTACAATCAGAAGAGAGATATTCCTTTTTTCTTATTATTCTAATTTCTCGTTATACATATTGTATAAAAGCCTGGAAAATTTATTTCCTATTCCGGGATGAGGGTCTAACCTTTTTGATCTATGGGTCTTTAGTAATTTGTCTTTCTTTGCTTGATCTGTATGTTCTAGGATAGTTGTTAGAAGATGATTATATATTCTTCTTCGATATTCGAAATTGAATGATCTCTTAATTCGCAAGCACAACAGATAACATCTTTAGATAATGTGAATAGCTACCTCCCCTTTCTGTTATAAATGTATTTTAACTAAATGGATCATTCTTGCAATGTAGCACCCTAGCTATTCTGATGATTTTGTGCCACCCTCGCTTGGTATTACGCGTTCTAATAGCCTACATATCTTCAATCCGTTTACTTTTGTAAATACAACACATTTTGAGATACAACATTTTGTGCTTCGTCAAGAGCTGCCACTCCTCCTCCATTCGTAGTCTTGTTGATATCTCTAGCTGCACATCTTGTCTTCACAATAAAATACCAGAAGATAAGTTTTTCCACGATAGGCATCTGAATAGATTTAACATCAAAGACTTGGGCAAAAATCTACCAATGCTTTGTCTAAGTTCTTCGTACTTTTATGTTAAAAGATAGTATCACATGGTTTACACCCTGTTTATAATATGCTGGACTACTCCAAGACCTTTTTATGACTTCCTTAATCTTAAGGATTCCCAAGTTGCCAAATGACGTCATCAAGAAATCGATTTTTCGAAATTTAGAAATCTGACCCCATAATTTGAAAGAACACTACAAAATACCGATTTATTTCCAAAATCAACAGTCCCCATTCTTGCAGCAACGGCATTGCGTTTGAATGCTTCAATCGCATCAGAATTCTGTCAGGCTGGAAAGAAGAAGTAAATGGTCTATTTGTGTTTGAAATTTCCTTTTTTTAATTGAACTACAAGAATCCTAGAGGAGTTTTAAAAGCTAGGAATTGGCTCTTGTCATAATGTCGCACATTTGGGCCTAAAGGCGATCGATAGATGCGAAAGTAGCGCAACCATCTTTCCGAATCTCGCATATCTGCAAAGTTTGCAATTTGGTATTGCATTTGGGGAAATGCAACAGCTTGAATTACTCCTCAGCACCAGTGGAAGTGCGGAAATGGCAAAAAGTAAAAAGCTACCGATCACAATCGATTAGCCAATCGATCAGTGTGTGGGTTGCATCACGTTCACTAATTGGCCTAAAGTCGAGCCTTACTACTTTTCAATATAGCGGCAGTGTCGCCTGAGAAGTTAATCCGATTTCATAACAGAGCTGACAGCAATTACGAAGGGAGTATGGCCAGGCGGTCTCCAATTGCCGGGGCTTTGCACTTTGTGCTCGAAGGAAGAAATCACACGAGTAGCGGATAAACTCAGCTGGGTAAGCGCTATGACTAATAATGAAAGGCCCAATGTCCTTCATTATGCAGAAAATATCGTACTGATTATAAAAAGATAATCTGTGACTTAAAGACCGGAGCTTCAAAATTAAAATCTAGAAAGCTTCTCCAGATGTGACAAAAATGAAAATACTATATTAAAGCGAATATGTGTGGATAGACAAATTTAGACATCAGGGCTAAATCGCTGATTGGACAGGAGAGCTCAGACAAGAGACGCCGTGAATACTAGAGAGCTGGGAGGGTACAAAGTGCCAAAAAAGGGTAAAACAATAGGAAAATGAAGAAAATTGTCAAATTTGGAAATTGCAAGGGGAAACAATCTCAACCTCTATGGGAAGCCTTCTGGCCCAACCATTGAGCAAGCAAAATAGAGGAGAGGAGGCGGCACCACGGGATGGAAACACTGCCCCTATTGTGCAGGCGAAAGAACAGTGCTATAGTGCATAGTATGGAAAAATTGATGACCGCTCGAGAACTCCATTGCAGCAGTGTGAAAAACCTGATGTTTAAAGATGAGTTTGACACAAAGGCAACCTGCTGCAGGGAAATTATTCTCAATTTCCAATCAAACGAAACCATTTTCGTGATCGAAACTATGATTCTACCGATCCAGATGATGAAATGCACAAATTATGTAGGAAGCCTAAAATATATCGCCAAACTGAATGAAAAGGTGATTGTTGTTGGTGCTGCCAAGTAAAAATAATTGCCTACTTGTTATTTTGCATGTTAACCATGTACTCTGTTGTTACCTGATAGCGAATTGAGGATACGTATTGGCACTTGTATGTGGACGACACAGTGGCTGTTCACAGCACAACGTAGGTACGCTGGCTTGGTTTGTATCCCCTTTTTGAGCGTTGGAGAACTGCCTCTGTATAAAATATTGATGCATTTCTGCTGACAATGCAGCCAGTTTATTTGGTCATGTGCTTCAAGAATTTTAAAACAACAACAACTCTGATGCTGTTTATCGATTTTCACGCCCTGTATATAAAAGAGCATTACGATAATTTATAAAATGGTTTATCATTCATTTCATTTTCATTTTTATTTTCATTTGGTTTATTTAGATAGGGTAAACAGTGAATTTAAATACCTGTTTCACAATGTAGCCTGCTTAAAAACATGAGTAAACTTTAATTACTTTTATCAGAAGAAAAGAAATCTTCCAAAAACTTTTTAGTCTAGTTCTGAAGGTGGCTTACGAAGGAGCCGTTCTTATTTCATGGCTTAACTGGTACGAAATCAGCTGAGATGGAGAAATGGCTAGAGGCTGCTGAGATGTGGTTCTTCAGGAGGATGATGAGGATCTCCTTGGTTGACCATTAAGCTCATCCGAAAAAGGCAGTCAGAATTCTTTGGACATATTATGAGAAAGGAGCAACTGGAAGAGACTATAACATCAAACAAAATTGAAGGAAAACCAGTGGGAGGGAGACCTCATCTGAATAACCTAACGAGTCTTGGTAAATGGATGCAGGCCCAAGTGCATGTTGAGAAGCAGGAAAGTTTTAAAGAAAAGAATGTGCTAATAGCCTGCAAAGATAGAGATTTGTGGAAATCCATGGTCACCAACGTCATACAAAAGAACACGGAACTGATTCCAAATAGTAACTTCTCGACACTAGAGACTCCGCTGCTCATTTGAGGTGTTACTCAGTGGAAGTCCAAGGTCAGTACTGGTATCACGCGAGGCCCGATTGCAAGAATCGGACAGTTTGTGAAACGTTGACTGCATCTAGGGAGGTGCAAGCCCATTCAAGGCTTTTTATACTTTGCACCCCGTCTCGATGTAGCGTAAACGCTAATAAAGGATACTGGTTTATACGCCTGAATTCATCATATTCTGAATCACCACTGACTTATATGGTTAATTACAATTACTTATAATACACGAATCTGGTTACAATCAATCAACAACAACAGAGTACAAAGCATAGTGACAGCAGTACATTACAAACATGATACAGAGATTTGACATATAGATTGATTACAGGCTAGATACATTACATCGAAGTCAATCATTTCTGTGACAGTTAACCACTCTAGTTGTGTGTGATATTAATGGCAACGTTTTTTATCGAAGGGACTGTTTGTGACGACACAAGCTGCCTGACTTTGTAGCATTTGCAAATTTCTCAGAATTGTGTCACCAGCACATTTCAGAACAGAGAAACAATAACTAAAATACGGATCCACTTTACTTATGTACATTCTTTGGATGGTTTGCAATGAAAAATATCTCTTAAAATACTTGAATATTCCTATTTTTCGAGCAAACTTACCAATAGCAACATTGATCTGCTCTTTCCAATTTAGTGATTGATCAATTTGAGACCCTAGATATGTGACACCATCTGTTAAGTTCGTGTGAAATGCGCTCAGTGAAACGGCTTTTCTGGGACAAAGAGATAAATTGTTGTTTGAGCAGATTTTAGTGCTAGCTGATAAACATGAATACGGGCAATGCAAATATAGGCAAATGCACACGAGGGTTACTTTCTGCATTCATGTCGAGTTCTCGCAAGGTCGTATTTTTTTATCGTTTAAGATGATTTTGGTCAATTATCTCAAGCATTCTCAAAGGAATCCAAATAAATATGTACGTTTCGTGTGTTACTTCATCTAAAAAAGATAGTATATTCAGCGAATAAGGTAAATTAGTAAATTAGTTTAAAAATATAAACAATTTACCAATGAATTACCAGTCAAGCCACTTTTTATTTGGTTTTAGCACCCCTCCCCTCCCAACTTTTTTAGACCCCCCCCACCTTTCTCAACGCTCCGCGGTTCCTGTGACAACGAGTACATGCTCGAAACGTCGTGTTTTTAACTATCAAACTAATTTCTTTCGTTCTTGTACTAAATTTACTTGCTGAATATATTCTCAAAGTAAAAAAGAAAATGAACGCTCTCAAAGGTCCTTGATTTTCTTACTCTATTCTATTGATTTATTCTGTCTTATTAAATGAACATGCCCCTAAGCTTTACGCTTAGGTCAACCATAACCATTGTTCATTTGCTTGTATGTAATTGTTCTTTTTATTTACTCGTGTATTTTTTGAATTTTTGAATTGTGAGCCAATAACCTGGAAAGCATGATGAAACACAGTGGCGAATTTAAGGGGGGCAACTAGGGGCAGTTGCCCCTCCCTCGACGAGTTAAAGCAAGTATGGCGCCCCTTTTTTGAAATTGTGCGCCCCTTTTGAAGAATGAGAATCAGGTGAGAAAGTTTCTGAGACCAATAGGTTAATTTGCTTCAAGGATTACTTCAAAGTTATGTTGTTTATTCCGAAAATGGATCTGAAATTGTTGTATACAGCGTTTTCTCGTCATCAATTTTTGAAAATTTTTCAGCGCCCCAACTACCAACTGCCCCTCCTTCAAGTTTGCTCTGTATCCGCCCCTGATGAAACATCTAAGTGTACAAAATCAGTTGAGTGTGTAAAGAATTATCTGGCAATGGCCACATGGGCATAGGCCCTTTTTTCGTTGAATCATTTTATTTGGTATCGAAACTTTATGATCAAGCCAAAAAAGACGTAATCTGCTAGCAGACTCGAAGTCTTTCATCTGTCCTATGTCAACCACATATTAAATTCTCAAACTGATTCTGCACTTTCAGGGACATTTAATGATGTGCTTTCAAGTTTGTCAGTCCATAGATTGTATGAAGTTTGTGAAAGTTGAAGAAATCTCTCATAAAGCTTCTAAATTCTTTAGATTTCAATTGCAAATAGCTGAATGTTTTGTAAATACTTTGATTGCTTTGCCTCCCATCAAGACTGTGAAGTTATTGTAAGCTTTCCTTAGTGTTTTGCATCAGGTTGTACATCCAAATTATAGGACAGCAGAAGCTTTTTTGTCTTCACTGAATTTTTTTATTTTCAAGCAATCTTTTTGTGGTACAAAATATAAAAATAGCTTTGAAGAAGCAAACATTTTTAATCATGCTTACGTTTCCGCCTGACACTCTTCAGAGAATAAAACGTCAAAACATAGATCAAATCACTAATCTAGGAAATATATATATACCCAGCTGTGGATCAAAATAGGCCAATCAGAAAGGCAAGCGCATGATTGTTGAGGTTGCCCAATCAGTGCCGCTTGCCTATTGAGACTCTTACCAAAATTCAATCATCTACGTTTTTAACTAGTTTTGGGTTATCTTTGTTTATAGAGATCCTTTCTCATATCAACAAGTAATCTGACAGTGCCACCCTTTTTGGGCGCTACATCAATGGGTAAGATTTGAGATGTTCCATCATTTTCTGGTCCCTTTTCGATGAAATCGCCTTTTTACAAGTTGTTGAAGGGCTGCTATTACTCTCTGTCATATGTGAATGCCCTATTACCCCCATCTCAAAGGCGCGCCTCCTTAAAGTTGTACGAGCTTATGTCCGGATAAAGGCACAGTGCGCTTATGAGTGGATCTTGGACCCGTTAA